ATGCATAGTGCCAGGTTTGTAACTAGGGCTGTAAATATTTTCATTGACAATGATTCATTTAGATTCCAATTCTTTAATATTAAGTGTAATGATTTATGATGAAATCTAAAATATGACTGTGTTTTTTGATCTCTCTGTGTACATCAGTTCTTCAGGAAGGACCAGGGTGATTACTTCATTGGCTGTCTCTTTCTCACAGAGCTCAGCACTCCTTTTGTTTCACTGGGCAAAATCCTCATTCAGGTAACACACGAGTGTGTATTTTACTCAGCAGTCCTTCATAGTGCTGTTCCTGACAACTTGACAGAGGAGCTGCCAGTCAACACTTTCCGTGTTTCCTTTAGTCAAGATAAGTGTGTGTTAAATGCAGAGATGTTTGGTACAAGCATTCACTTAGTGTTCCTGCTTTAAAGTGAAAATCTATCGCTAATACTTGCTTATGTTTCTGCTGTTGTTTTCCCACCAAAAATGGTCACATCTTGAATGACAATCCTGGAACATTTTGATTGGAGAAAGTGATAATAATAATGAATAATTTGACATTTTTTCATGTATAGCACCCTGGGACATTGAAAAATGTAAATCCTCTTCATGTTTTAAATTTTTTTTCCCAGGACTGTTTAATGGACAGCATTTTTTAATAGAAAACTTTTGTAAGATTGTAATTTATTTACTGTCACTCACTGAAAAAATGACCCCAATGACAGTGTATGATAGGTACATAAAAATGTCCCTGCTAAATGGAGCATTCTCTGTGCACACTTATTTTCCATTCTCTGTACTCTTCCAAATAACTCTTTTTGTGCTGATTCTTGGTTTCTGCTTATTGGGAGTGATTAAGTGAAATTGCTTTCAGACATGTCTCTTTTATATTGTTGCACATGCCCCCTTTTGGTAGTCATGGGTATTGCATATTAAAGCAGTCCCAGCATCTGTAGTTGTAGTGACAAAATATCATAAGTCTGGCCCACTTTGCAGTTTTTTTTTTTCTGACAAAGAATGGCTAAGCAGGATGAAACTGACATGTGAAGGGATCAGTCACAGTTTTAATCACAATTTTATTTGTTGAGAAATGCTTGAAGGCCTTGAACCCAAAATTGAAAATTCTATCATCATTTACTCACCCTTTGTTGTTCCAAACCTGTATAACTTTGGGTGATCCTTGAAACACAAATCAAAATATTTTTTAATGAAACCTGAGAGGTTTCTGTCCCTCCATTGAAAGTCCAGGTAACCAAAACTTAGAAGATCCAAAAAGATTATAAAGGCATCGTAAAATGAATCCATATGATTTGAGTGGTTTAATCCGTCTTGTGAAGAGATATGATTGCTTTATATGATGAAAAGATTTAATTTAGTCTTTTATTCACATTTAAACATTGATGAATGCACACACATACACAGAGCACATTTGCATATGCAATGCATGAGAACCAATGAGTTGTGAAGTTTCCATGTTTACCATATGTGATGTACTCCATGTATATTAATATGTTAGTAAAAGCCTAAAGTGTTTGTTATATAGAGCGATTGTATGTCTTCACTGCTTGATTCATATGGATTTGTTTTACGATGCCTTTATGACCTTTTTGGGTCTTCAGTCATTCAGTTACCTGGACTTTCAATGGAGGGACAGAAAGATATCCTAATTTGTGTTTCAACCAAATTCTTATGGATTTGGAACAAAATGGCTGTGAGTAAATGATGACAGAATTTTTATTTTTGGGGAAACTATCTCTAATAGTTTAACTACCTTTTCCTCTCATTCTTCTGTGTTGACTGTCTCTTCCTGTAGCTGGGGATGCAGGACTGCTGGCTGCACAAGGTTAATGGCGGCATGGTGCTGCTGAGTTTCTTCATGTGCCGCATCGCACTCTTCCCCTACATGTACTGGGCCTATGGCTCCCACTACGGCATCCCGCTCTACAGCATTCCCTTCCATCTCTCACTCTCCACCAACCTGGGCAACCTCTGCATCCTGGCACCGCAGGTCTACTGGTTCGTCCTCCTCTGCCGTAAAGGCTACCGACTCTACAAGCGGCAGCAGGATGCGCAAAACCAGGCCTCTCCGCTGTCCTCGCCCGAGCCGGTCTCAGATATCTCCAAGGCTGATTAGTGAAGGTCTGTCTTTATCTAGAACAAACAATCAACAGACATCACAGCTGAAGGCTATGGCACTGCATCTGCTACGGTTACAGTACAATCAAGATTTCATATTAGAAATACCCTTATTACTCCTCTTCACTTTACTCCATTCCATGTGCACACTCACAATTACACACTCGCCCGTTAAAATGGCACTTCACTGGATTTACTGCAGTGTCTTCTAAGGAGCATCTTCTAGGTCAGTTATTGAGGGCCGTAGCCCTCTTTTCCTTCTCTGATTGGAGTATCTGTTACAGTTTGGACTGGTGTCTTTGAATGTCATTGGAATTATCTGTTACTTTTGTTATTTTTGGTTTTGTCCCATATGAAATGCTGACATACAAAAATACACTGGTTTAAACTATAGAATTTATTATGCGAGTGGCACGGCTGTCATGATAAATTCATTGAATTAAACCCACAGCATTTCAGATCACATCCCTCTCGGCGCAAAGCTCCCATCACGTGGTAAGCATTTCCATGGCTGCAGTGCTGCTGTTCTTGTTTACAGCTCATTAGAGTTCTGTGAATGTGTTTGCACACACACTGCCCTGCTGTGACTGTTTACACATCTCTACCACACACCGCCCTTTACACTCTGGAGGCTGCTAATGAATTCTGCTTCACTTCTGTGGGCCTTTTGAGCATACAAAGTCCTCCCATCCACATGGGGGCAGTAGAGAGTCGGTCCTTATGTTTACATGGCATAGACAGGACTCCAGTCTATAGGGGGATGGGGTCTTTGCAGGGTATAAAGAGCAAGCACATAACGCTTGGCATATCTTTTAGGCCACATAATGCCTGAGGGCATCTCCAGGCAGTAGTCAAAGCAATAACATGGCTTCAAGGCAAGGGATTGTGGGTAGTTGGAGAACCCATGTGAACACATGGGTAAGGATAGAAAAGCTGCATGACAGCCTCCTCTGAAAGCATGTATAAAGAATGTAATACTAGGTTCCTACAGTCTTGAGAAGAAGGAAAATATCAGGCAATTTTACATTTTAGATTTTCATGTGTAGAAAAGTCATCAGAAGTCTTTAAAATTCATAATTTCTGTAGTGAGTATCATTTCTGTTGCTCTTCAGCTGAATATTTTTTGGCTAGACACCACTTTTAATGATTACTGTCTGCTAAATAATTTCTAGAAAATTTTATCCAGAAAAGTTGCTTTGAAAAATTTGGGAACCCTGGTAATTGTGTTTTTGAGTGTGAAGTGTGAAATGCTCTTGATACGGGGCTTCAATTTTTATCTTCCTATTAACTGAGCCTACAGTTTGAGTTGTAAATAAATAATATTTAATTCTACATGGATGAATATTGCAGTATAAAAGGGTGATTTGCTGTTGCCTAGGGTCATTTTAGGGATAATCTGTGGCTTATACGAGCTTGTGTAAGTGTAGGCTTAGCAAGGAACTCAGAAGCCTTTGTTTCAGGGCTTTTAACACAACCTGCAGCATCTTTCATAATACATTTAGGGAATGCTGGATGAATGCATCTGTATGGCGTATGAGTTTTTTTTAACAGTGACTTCTAGATTCCATTAAGCGCTTTCAGAAGTGCAGAACTGTGAAATTTAAATGTTGCCCAGTACGTACCCATGCACTCTTACTTAGTGTTTCCAAGACAAACTGGACCTAAAGGTTGCCTTTAGCAAGTGTGTGTGTGAGAGACAGAGAGAAGACTTAAATAAGAGTGTGTATAAATTCCCAGCTCACTCTCTAGGAGGTTGAACGGGGTCTTTGCTGGACTGAAAGAGAGAGGATGTGTTTTGCTCTCCCTTTCTAAAGCTTTAGTACTTTTCAAAACTAACTATGCAGTCTTTCAAGCTGCTGCTTCTTGTCTATGGCCACACTATGCTTTCCTTAGTTTTGTTGATGCATTTGGCAGATGAGTTGGCCATATTAATCATGATGCATGTTTTGTTTTTTTTTGTAGTGTATTGCGTTGATGCTTTTCATTGTTTACTGATGTCTGTTACAGTACATTTTTCTATAACCAACATTCTTTTCTTTTGTTCTCTCATTTTTTACTCTATGATTTAGAGGTTAGGCTGCTTATCATGAGGCATATCCATAATCGAATAAATACACTGTATGGGCATGTAGACACCCAGAAAGCATCTAAAATCAAATATGTGGGCATTAATAAGGGGTTTGTCATTCCTTTGCTGCTATAACATCTTACATTCTTCCCAAACTGTCACACAAAGTTGGATTCTGTTAAATGTGACTTGAATTAAGGGGCCTAGCATTAATATTATACATTTTAATATTTAATTTTATAAGTTCACAAACTTTTGGCCATGTAGTGTAAATCCATTATGTATGAACAGGTTTATATCCAGAAATTACATAATCATAAATCAATAAATTTAGGCTAATTTATGCCATGCTTGAGCTCAGGGTTTGATAAAGATGTTATCATTTTTCAGTTATTATTTAGAGGTGAAAGATGAGACTGTGATTTACAAAAAGACACAACATTTCTAATTGAAAATACCTACAACACCTTTGGGTTTGGTAGACCAAAGATTCTTTTAGGCACTTTTTACAGACAAGTAACGTAGTGAAACCTCATCATTGCCTTTCCCTCGCTTGCCATCCACAGAGGCTCAGATCTCTACTGGACTGACTCTGCTGATGGCTCAGGCAGCAAAAAAACTGGAATTTTTCTCACTGGAATATTTGGCTTAGTTTATTTAGATATTTTACTGAAAATTACAAACTGGGTGAATCTGATGAAAACATGTCTGGATCATATTTCACCCCCCAAATCAGTAACAAAATGCAGCCATTAAGCCAGTTTTCTTTCAAAAATCAGCTTTAAGGCAGCGTGTGATTATTATTATTTTTTTCCAGGGGTAATGTGAAATTAATGTTTATCTGTCATAAAAATAGTCTCTCAAACTAAAAAAAGGCTTAATGGTCATGAAATGGAGTTCATTCTCTTAAATATTAAATATATGACCGGCATGTTGTGAGAAGGACAGAAGTGGAGGAATAAGAGGTGAAGATGTTCAGAATTTTTATCAGCTTGCTCTGATTTTTAATACATATCAAATCTAAACTAGGCTGTTTTGATGGGTGCTTTGTTTGGAGCTTTATAGTTTACTGTAAATGGTTGCAACAGCAATGGAGGAAGGCAAATATATGCAGATAACTGGAAAAGTCTGAGGATAGAAAATCAAGCTATAATAAATATTATTAAATCTATAAAAGCTGTTTTACCCCAAATTATGTGTTGTCTGGAATATCATAAATACAGTGCCTTGTATTAAAGTTGTTTGTGATATTGAAACAAGCTCAATGCACAGGAGCCCTGGGCAGGCGGTGTTTTAGGTTGTGACCATCTCTGCTCACTTTTTTTGTTTTAATGTTCAAAGTACATTACACAACTAAGAAAAACATCTATCACAATGACACTTTAATTCTTTATGCTAGTAGGTTTGATTTCTATGTATAATTTGAATAAATTGTTACAGCTAACTTTGTCCGTTAAACATGCTTCTAAGTCTTAAAATAATTTTAAATGACGTTCTGTTTTCTTGCTATATTGTCTTTATATTTGCATTCGTGAAACTAATTTAAAGGAAATCTAAACTAAAGGTCTATAATGTTACCCAGTTTTCTGAACGGCATCCATTCCTCATAAAATTAGACAATGTGGGTCAGTTCAAATCCAAGTTACATATCTACTGTTTAGATTTTTGCATGGATTTAAAAGCATTTCATCAGTGGTCCAGAAAGCTATATCAAAATGTACACTTATTTCCAACTCATTCCTTGGTTGCATCTCCAAACTCAGTTCAGCATTATTAACTCTTGTTCAGACAGAGGCCAGTGGGAAAGGAAACCTTTCAGAGAACTGGGAAGTAGCCAGAAGCACGTTTGCATTATCTGTTTCCTGGTGAGGAAAACACACTTCCTTGCTATGTCAGCTTGACCTCAAAGCATGATTTCATTCTGATTTCCTAATGCACAACCTTTAGCACTCCCTGCCTCTTATTTTTGATAACATTTTGATTTTCACATATATATTGTATCGGATTTCATATAAATATTTAGGTTTCTGTTTGTTTGTAGGATGACATTTGAAGAACTCTCCTTTTAGAAAGGGGCTACAGAGTGAAACTAATATAAATGCTTGATTGGGCTTATTTTCTGGAAACTTGTAAATCCAAACACCACTTTGAAAGAAAATAAATCTGATTTGGTGAATTCTTTTAAACTGAGCAGCCTTTGTTTACTAAGAAGATGTGTGTTAATATTTCACTGGAACACTACTCGGCTACATAATATAATATAGACAACAAGTGTGAACAAATATGAAGATGTTATGCCCCGTTACACCCCATCCAACTTGATACCACTCTTTATTATTTCTTCCACAGACAAAGTATATCGCTGGACATTTTATCTTATTTTGCTCAGTGCAACAACCAGCACAAAGCATATCATTTTAGGTCCAATTATGTACAAATATCATCCTAGGAGGTTTTTAGGCGATGTGCATCATCAGATGGTCTGACAGAGAACAATCAAGACATCCCTCAGGAAGAAAAAAAACAACAACTGCTTGAGTGTTGTTCTATTGGTCCACTCCACTCTCTTCTGGAGGGATGGAACGCCTCTTGATTGCTGGGACAGAAGAAGATTGCAAAATGTCCCCTGTGATAATGTCTTCCATTATACAGTGAGGAACTCACAACAGTACACGGTAACAGTCCTGAAGCTGCTGTTCATCTGAGGTAGTATTCAATGGCAGCAGAGAACGCAGCAAAACCTCCACAGCCCAGAACTCCAGCTTTAAGACCAGCTAATGAAGAGAGAGACAGCTTATTCATATAGTCCAGATAATAATATAACATTACCACACATCTAAATCCTTTCTATTCTTTAAACCCAAGTTGAAAAATTACTTGCCTCTGAATCCAATGGCACCTCCTGTAATACAGCCACTATACACTGCATTTTTCCAGTCAGATTTCCCACGATGCTAGAAAAGAGAAATAAAACCATTCTTCAGATGGAGGATCAGTCCTGAAAAATTGGCCAGTGAAAATTTTTTGCAAAACATCCTACAAGGAATGGATAAGTAGAAAGGCTGTTCATTTACACAACCACTAGATGGAGCCATTAATCCATTTTAAACTCAATGACACTTGGCAAAAGATCTGAGTAGTAAATGTAATTGATTTAATTTTAATAAATAATCTGAACATTGTGTTTTAAACAGTAAACTATAGTATTATAGTACAGTCTACATCAGTATATAAATTATGATGACTAGTACATTTAGGTTGATGGATGGAAGGATAGAATAAACACTGGGTGCTTCTCAATGCTCAAATCAATGCTTCCTCGTTTCCTTGCTCCTCCATCCTCCAGCCTGTGACCTGGATATCAATAAACATTGGCCATCTAGTAGGAAATCTAAATTCTCTAATTTCACTGCGAGGAACAAGGAGCGAGTATGTTTCCCGAGGAACTATAAGTGAGGATATGGAAGCCCTTTTCCATAAAAAATGTATCACAAGTCTGAATTTTTTTTACTCACAATTGCGAGTTTACATCTCACAATTCTGACTTTTTTTCTCAGAATTGTGAGTTATAAAGTCAGAATTAAGAGATACAAACTCACAATTCTGAGAAATGAAGTCAGAAATGCAAGATATACTCAAAATTGTGAGAAATAAAGTCAGAATTGTGAGATAAAAAGCAATTCTGACTTTTTTCTTGCAATTGCGAGTTCATATCTCACAAGTCTGACTTTTTTCCTCGCAATTCTGACTTTTTTTTTCTCATAATTGTGAGATATAAACTCAATTGCAAGTTATAAGGTCCAGTTTTGCGGGGAGATTGATATGTTCTTAGAATTGCGAGTTTATATCTCACAATTCTGAATTAACTCGCAATTGCATCTTATAAAGACAGAATTGCTTGATATAAACTCGCAATTCAGTATTGCCACTATAACTCGCAATTGCAAGTTTGTATCATGCAATTCTGACTTTATTTCTCAGAATTACGAGTTTATATCTTGCAATTCTGACTTAACTCGCAATTGCGAGTTTCTATCTCAGAATTCTGAGAATAAAAGTCAGAATTGCGAGATAAAAAGTCTAAAAAGTCAATTTCCTTAATTTTTTTTATTCAGTGGCGGAAACGGGCTTCCACCGGATACACAGGTGTATTCTATGCAGAAATGTTTCCTGTCAAAACACCTGATGCACATATAGGGTCCTTTCCCTTCTGTCATCTGACACAATAATTATATTTGACCTTTGCAGTTTAAATAAACCATACATCTCACATATTTCAAAAGGGCATCCTGCTTTATTAATATTCATTATGCATTTCCCTTGAGTTCAGCTGATGAAGCTTTGAAATGATGCTTGATTGATCAAGAATATTCTGATATACAAATGAGTTTTCCTTCAATTACTCCATCCTCATTTTCTTTCCTTGCATCCTTCCCTCAAATCCTAAGGGGGTGGAGCTAAGGTGTAAGGAAATGAGGATGCACAAATAAGAAATGAGAAGCAACCTGTAAAACAATAATCAATGGTTTGTAGTTTAAATAGGCATTGTACTGTCGGAAATAAAACATCACTAAATAATATCTAGTTGTTTCTGGACAGTGAATTTGATCACAACATAAATTTACATTTACAAAAACAATTTGTGCTTATTTGACTCGAGGAAAAAAATTCATGACACAACAAAAGGCGGTCAGACAAAACAAGACAAATGACACTTACCGATTCTATGAGACACTCCGTGCATGAAAACATAGCACCCACAATAGCAAAGTTTTTAGCATATGACATTCCTCTCTGCCCCATGTCTCTCAGCACCTCTCTTGCTGTGGGGGTCCTTAGGGGGTCTTTGGGATCAAGCCCAACGTTGGAGTCAATACCGGCTGTGAAGACACCAAAAGCACCTCCCAACACAAACCCTGCAGGAGAAATACTGCATTTGAGCTGTTGGTCGTGAATTAAATACATATTGATCACGGTAATATCTCCTCGTTACAAAACCAGTCCACATATGAATTATAACAAAAATTGCTGTGTATTATGTGGTTCTGCATTAGTCAATATTTTAGTATGAACTATTAAGATATCACAGGATGTCTAATACTTGATTCTACTGTGATCACTGATAAACTAGTGAACTGTCAGACATGACAACACAGATTTGAGCTGGTAACTTTGCAACGAGTGTAACTAGACTGTTTTAATGCGTATGGCATGTAAAACATATTAAACGACTGTCAGTGAATTACCTCCGACACATGCTATGAGTGATTTAAACGCGCAGCTCTCCATTCCCCTCTCGATCATCTTCTGCTCCTCTGTTTTCTGAGGGCTCGGTAAAGCACCCATAACAGTCGGATTCAGGTCTTTAATCTGCCTTTTGCCACCGATAAGGTGATCCAGAATAAGACTATACTGTAGTGGAACATTTTCCGCAGTTGAAACAGTTGCCGATGGACCCGTAGTAACTGATATTGAAGCATCCGTGCTCTTTGCGGGCGCAGCCATGTTGAAAGCGTGTGGTTTATGTCACGCAGACGTTAAACAAGAACACATTCGTCGATTTTCAACAACAGAAAAACAATTAAATTACATAAATCGTCTTGGTTAGTTATTAAGTCCCGTAAATACTTATAATTTTGTTTTATATGCGATACAATTATAAGCATTTACAGGACTTCACGCCACATTTATGTTGTACATATTTCTAATAATAATAATTGGTTCTGCAGATTCGACAGAAAGGGAGGTGACCTTTGCATTGGCACTGCAGTCCACCCAGACTGTCCTGTAACCTGGATAATGTTTTATATAACTATAACACGAGTTTTTGTGTGTGCTCTGAATCTCAAAATTACGTACTTTTCTTACGATTATTAAAGACATGGAATATATTTACAGTATTATTATTTCCCTTTATCTTAAACAAAGACAATAAAGCCACTCAAACAGCTTAAATACAAATAAAAAAATCTTAAAATTTAATATAAAACGTAGGTTATTTTTTAAATTATTTTTCTTGGTTATTTATTAGTAAATAATACAACTACGCCAACTACAATTCCCAGCGTGCCCCTCGTTCACTGCACCAGTACCGCGCGCTGCCCCTAGCGGAGGAGTCGTGTTCGGCGCTCGAGCATCCTCGGTTGGTGAGTGACAGCGGCGGCGACGCTCCTCGGCGCTCGGGAACAGGTGAGTCACAACCTAAATTTATCATTGTCTTTCTTGTTTTGGAGATTATATTGGCATGGTAGTGATTCCGTTTAATACATTTGATCACTTCAAGGAATCATTTATAGTCGTCGTTGGGACAAACACTGTACTTACCCGCACTTTTATCAACGGATGTTGTCGTGTTGCGCGCGAGAGTGTGAGCTGCTGTTTTTAACGGTGACCGCTGTCTGACTGACGAGCTTTCGCACCGGCCCCTTGCTGTGATAAGGATAGTGATTCAAAGCTCACATATTCCTTTCATTTTATATTCATTATTTCGCGTGATGTCTTCGGACAGCGACAGAGTCACAGTCAGCGGTGAGACACCAGTCACTGCTGAGATGCGTCGACAAGATTTGACATGACACATTTCATTTATTTGAAAACGTCTTTTACGATTCTGCGTGTTTTTGAGCCAAACTGTGAATAACAAACTGAACTGTGAAGCGCTTAAGTGTTACACTGGTTCAGACGTAACGTTAGGTAATTTAGTGTCACACAGCTAAGTGTTCAAAATTTACTGCCAATTCACACAGTTCACTTAATGTATAGCTATCTATCTATCTATCTATCTATCTATCTATCTATCTACCTATCTATCTAGTTTGAGAATGTTTGAGTTTCAGGGTGGTCAACTTTGCAGGAATATCTGTCAGTAATTATCTTGATTTCGAAATCAGGTATCGCCCAACCGAATTGTTATCAAAAAAACTTTTAAGCAAACACTTTTTGTGATACGTTTGTGTTATGTAAACGTTTATAAAGCGGTAAGTAATGACTTGCTTGTATTTTGTCGATGTTGTCGGATATAGATAATGTTATGAACAAATAGTTTAGCCCGTTCAAATAACGTTCGAGTGGCGAACCGTTACTATGGCAACAGGCGAAAGACTTTTGTTCGCGAGCGTTTACGTTGCGTTTGTGCTTTCAACCCTCTACTTACACCTTGGCAATATAATCGCCATTGGCTAGTACAATTTTTTGTTTACTCGCCAGACTGATATACTATTTTAGAGTCTCATTACGAATACGTCATATGTATCGCATTGTCACGTGCCTTGTAAAAATTAAAAAATGTGACTGAGCAACTGACGACTGTATCAGCACAGATTTTCCTCGCGCTTTGGACTTTGAACCCTGGTTAACAAGCAGATCTGCTGCGAGTTCGTGCAGCGCTGTCAGAATACATGCAATGCGCGCGTGTATTAGAAAACATAACGTTCTGCGGTTTATTTACTAATTAAGGCCATTTCGCGATTTCAATCATCATACAGTAACCAGCAGTTTAATCACCTCTTCCTCTTCTCATTGAAGACATGCGATGCAGTTCTAAACAGTCTCTCGCTGTCGGTGCTTGTAATGATTTTTGCGTCTTTCTCCGACAGTTTAAATGCTTCCACGCTGCTGACGTGTGTGCTGCATAATAAAGAGTGCGCACCTCTCACTCTGCGCTGGTTGCTATTTGATCGCGTCATATCATTGTTCGGTACAATTTATTCGGTCTTTTCGCTTATTCGGTTCGGTTGCCGAACATTCGGTGCATCCCTAAATATAAATTCACGTCTCGCACACTTTAATGCCCTTTGAATGTAACGTGTACATTCCCTTGGAACTGGAATCATGGCGGAATTTCATGTGAAGTCCACTTCGCAGGGCACTTACGGTCGAATAAGCCAACGCGTGAATGCTGAAAAAAAATTAAATTGTGACTTTTTATCTCACAGTTTGGATTTGGTTTCTCATAATTCCGATTTTTTTTCTCATATGAATACAGAATTGTGAGATAAAATCTTTTTTTTTCTTGCAATTCCAAGTTTATATTTCATAATTCTGCCCCTTTTCCTCTGATTCCTGAGTTTGCATCTTGTAATTCTGACTTTTTTCTCACAATTCTCCCTTTTTTTCTTGGAATTCGGAAGCAAGATTCCTTATGAAACATCTAATGATAACCAATGACATATAGGGAGTGCTCTTTTGATCTGTGTATATTAGCACATTACAAACATTTTACATTAAAAAGCCTGTATTTTTAGAGTCAATGTGTGTCAGATTAAAGCAGCTAAATACAGCTTTGCAACCATAGAATTAAGATGAACTACAGATGCCCTTTTACGGAGGAAATGTTTAGACCTCTACTGCATCTTCATAGTAAGTCAGTCAGGCTTGGGCGTAGGCAGTCCTCCAGTGTGATTACACAGTGATAGAGAAAAAACCCCTGCAGAAAACAAGTAATTTTTTATTCGAAAACTTTCATACGTCTTCTTTCACCAACCAAAATAAAGTTAAAACAGCCAAAGTAAAACTTCCCTAAATCACCCAGTGTCTAGCTATTTGTAGGTAATTACACCCTCAAGTTTTTTTCTGGGTAAACCATCAAAGGAAATAGCAAGTGTGTCTCTGGATAGACAGCTAAGCTCTCTAGAACACACTGTCCTAGATAGAGCTCTCTGCATTTCTACGAATCCATATTGCAGCAGTCTGATCATAATAAAACCCTGCTGTCTCAAAAGATAAGGGTTAAATGTCTTTTGTTTTTATAATGTAGAGTGTTTGTGTGAGATGCTGGAATTTGTGAGGTCATACCAGCGGTTAAGACAGCTTTAAACCATTAATCTATGTGTAATTGAGGTGTTTTGAATAGTCACATATGGTTCAAGGACCTTGACTGGTTCTTCAGATAAAGTAAATTATCTTTGAAATTTGAGGAAGTAATGACATTATGCAGCCCAGCTTCCTAGTCACATCATTACATATAACATCATCACTATATAAATGCATCATTCATTCATTCATCATCCTCTTTGCTCTAACAAAAGCACGCACATTGAGATCAAACGAAGTCACTATAAATAGTATTTGGCCTCTGGAAAAAGAAGGTCAGTGCTACCAGAAGGACTCGGGAGGCAGATGAACGCTTTACATATTTTATTGTAAAGAATCAAGATAAATGATCAGACAAATATAAGTCCAGCTACAGTCCTTTCATAAAATCCTTTGATGTAAGCCCTGTCCATGGTTCAGGCCTTATGGTAGGCTGGCAGATCCTGCCTGAAGATGAAGGCAGGGTGAAGCCAACCCTCGACTGAGGAAGGGGCCAACCTGGTAGAGGTGGTGGAGAGGATGGAGGGGAACTTTGGCTACATCACCTATGAACAGCAAATGAGTTAGTAAGGTCAGACTGAATGAAATGGCATTTGAGTCTTCCTCGTAGAACCTTCGCTGAAGCTTTCACTTCCAGTCATATGAGACATTCAGGAGTGGATGGTTCTCAAAGGCTGTAGCAGTGTGTGTGTGTGTGTGTGTGTGTGTGTGTGTGACTGTGTCTGTGATAGATGAGAAGATGGGATTAGTGGCTTAACTTCACCCAAAATGAAAATTGTCATCATTCACTCACCCTCATGTCGTTGAAAACCTGTAGAGGGAATTTTAAATCTTCATTATTCAAAAACATTTAGGCACTAGGGTAAATAATGGCCCTGTCCCAAACGGAACACTTCATGTGCACTTGCGGTCTTACGGACTTACAGTGGCCACCGCGTGCGCGTGTCTGTTAAGTCCACGAGACCGTAGGGTGTCCCATTCGTCATTTTAGCGTTCAAAAGGGTGCTAGCGAGTGCCCCCTTTGCGGCCATTATGCGCCCTCGATGCGCACTTCTGCCGAGCCCACACTGGGGCGAGCTCCCCAGCAGACTTCTACCCGACAGTCAACGCGGCATTACGTCACGAAAGTGGGGACTCAGAGGAAGACCGCAAGGGTTTAGGGTGCCATTTGGGACAGGGCCAATAATGAGAAAATGTGAATGTATGATTTGGTTCTGCTCTAAAAAGTGATCAGTGCATTAGTTCTTATGTATCCAGTGTGGTTTTGTGAGTGTGTGTAAAGTAAAACCTAATTACGTGCAGAAGGTATGTTGCTTACACAGCAGCTCAGCATCACACATCCCACCACAACACCACATTATTTCCACGCTCTGCTCTAATCAATGGGACTATTAGAAGAGAACTGATTAAGTGGAGTTATTTTAGTACATGGGGTGCTTGGCATTTTTCTGCTGTCAATTCTGAGTCCGAAAAGAGTGGTGACGGAAGTTTGCCATGAGATGATTCATGAATGTGAATCTCACCTGAATGCGAAGGAAGGTGGAGTAACCCCAATGATACAGCCAATGAGTCAACCAATTATACAAAAAAAAAGGATAAAGTCAATTTAAGAGTTAATCTGTAATTTCTCTGTTTCAAATCTTCTTATCTGCCATATTATTAGGGCGGCACAGTTAAATGGAAAGTAATGGCTGCACAAACTCACTCAATCAATACACA